AGCGTCACAGTCTTTGCAAGCACACAACAAAGCGAATGGGAATTTGCTTAGTAACAGATCTTTCAGGCTTACATTGTTGAGGGAAAGAGGAGTGGTTAGGCAGAGGAGGAGGCCGGCGCTGGGGAGAGCTGAGTGGACACAGCACTCGTGAGCACAGGAAGGTGGGTCAGGCTGGCTCATGAAGTACCTGGGGACGTACAGGAGTGATGAGAGCAAGTGTGAGAACAGCACCCGGGCTGGCTTTTTAGGGCTGCCCTGCTGGCAGTGAAATGCAGATGATAATGCAGTGCATTTGGGGCCTTCTTTGCGAAGCCCTTGCGGCTGCCATAGAAGGCTTGTTTTCCAGGCAGAGCTTGTTGTTGGGATTTTAGATCAAAACATTTTAGAATTGTAGAATGTAATCTACACTTCAGGAATCACTTTTGCTACTGTTTCCTCTTTTCAGTTAAGTTTTCCGCTGAACTGTAACTAAACTCTTTAGAGCAGCCATCCAAAGTTGTTGCGTAGTGCTGCATCACTCTTACAACCCATACATTGATGCAGGGCGTCAAGCACGTTTGCACCTATACCACCACCATTTTCAACGCATTGTCTTCCCAGTAGAGCCCCTGATAGCAGCTCCCCATTTCTTCCCCCCTTCCGCCCCCACCTGCCCCCCCTCACAAACCCTTGATAAGCTATAGATTATTATTTCCATATCTTACATCGTCCTCCATCGCCCCTCACCCACTTTTCCGTTAATTGCCCGGGGGTGGGGGTGGGGTGGGTGGTTGTTATATGTTGATCCTTATGATCGATTCCTGACTTCTTGTTACTATGTTATACTGCTCAGTGTAGCCCTTAAGTGAGAGGAAATCGATACATAACCCTGCATCCTTTGCATCTGACTGGAAATAGAAGTCTGAGAAATATTTGGGCTCCTCAGCATGTAGCTCTGTGTCTCCTGCTCAGTAGTGACTTGACGAAGAGACACTGTGGGCTTACTCGGTGCCCACGCAAACCTACCAGCCAGTAGACTTTATTTCCTACTCCCAACTGATACTTGATTAGTACGCGCCTAAGAATGGTGGTGTGCTTTGTGAATGTTCGCCATTACTGTAACTATAGAGAGAATTATTTCTGTGTTAAGAGGTTTAGGAAATGTTTCTGCAGGGAATTTTTGAGTTTTGATCAGTTGTACTTCAGAGGTCAGTGACATCCTCTGCCTTTTTAAAACTTCAGTTTCTGGCAGATCATTTCCAGGACCTTCACATTCAACTAACCAAATGAGGCTGGAGCAAGGCCATATTTTAGAACAAAAAGAACCCTTGCCCCTGAGGAAAATTTCCAAGTGGCTTATGTTCAATGCAGTTGGGTCGGGACTGGACACACGGAGTGAAACACGGCCCCCTCTGAGGCCATCTGCCTGCCCAGTCGTTACCATGTCTCAGCCTGTTGTTGCCACGCTGTCAGCCCATCTCATTGAGAGTCTAACTCCGTTTCCACTGGTCCGCCACCCGACATGACTGGGTGTCCTCCTCCAGAGATTGGTCCAGAGTAGGTGAGACGGGTTTGCCGTCTTTGCTTGTAGGAGCATCCTGGCTGGACTTCCAAGACCGACTTGTTCCTTTTCTGGCAGCCCCCGCCTGTTTAATAGTCATCAACACCCTGGTTTCAGTGCATGGTTTCTCCTCCAGTCTTAGCATTGTTCAGCTCCCACTGCCTGTGAGGTAGTTAAGACCACCAAGACCACCGTGGCGTGA